CAATCGCCCCTCTGGACAGGGGCGAAGCAAAACCCAAACATCTTTCATCGGGATCAACCCTCCCCCCCAAAAAAAGAAACCGCAACAGTGTGTGTGTGTGTGTGAGGAAGGTGCAAGGACTCATCCTCAGCCCCAGGAGGCCACCTGAGAACGCCCTTCTCTAGCACCAGCACCGCCTCATTCAATGCTGCCCAAGCATTCCGCACCGCAAAGAGCTCCAAGACCTTTCAAAAGCACATCTAGCCTAATGAAAAATTCTGCAGACGGGAAAACCTTATGTTATTGTCGGTTTTCTTAATAAATTAACAGGGCTTTCGTTGTTGGATCCCAAATCTCTGCGTTCATTGACATTTAATGGTCTTATACCATCATGATTTTATCTTGTTTTATTTTGTGAGCCGCCTTGATCTCTAACGAGGCGGCATAGAAAGTGTTTTAAATACATTCTCGGCTCTCCTCACGTCTTCTTTATTCTCTCCCACTTTCCTCCCTCCCTGTTCTTTGGCCTTCTTATGTCCCAGTTCTTTAAGTCCTTAACTTTCGTTTCTGTCCCACATGCTTCTTTAGAATATATTTCAAACATATATAATAAAACAGCCGCCGTAGTGGTAGGTAACAAGAACAGATGAAGCGAAAGCAGAACATGAGCCTGATCGTCTTCAGTGTTATCCGCTGCCTTATCTGTTACTTCTCACCTCCGCCTGCCACGGCTCTGTCCGGAAAGAAACTTCAGGAATCCTGGTAATGATGACGGTGATTAGCCAAGTGAATGGCGGTCTACTAGTTTCCACCTGTCAGTTCCCCACATCAAGACAATGAACTCTTTGAGGGAATTCGTTTGCCCCCCCCCCCCCCGGGCCTCAGCTGAGGTGGTCTCAAACAATTGAAAGCAAGAGTCAGGTGGGCATTCGTGTTGCTCTGAAGCAGCAGAACAACGTCCGCGTCCAGTGGCAGTGCACCCTGAAGACCAACCCGGGTACAAGCTCTCCGGTGCATGCACACTTCTTCAGATACCAATTGAAACCAAGTATTTTCAGATTTGTTTCTTTAACCGGGCTGTGCACTGGGCTGTAAACGCAAATGTGACTGAAGGAGAGAATGGGAAGGTTTCCATAACAAGGTGACAATTTTTTACATCGCTGGACAATCTCAGGATTGTGCGATGTCACCCCACTTCTCCTTAAATACTCTCAAGCGGCCGAGTAAGCAGCAGCCTGCCGAGGCCATTCCACCTCGCTTTCTTCCCACGCGGATCTCTGAACGGGGCTGTCCGAAGGAGCAAAGACACGACTGGCCCCGCTGCGCAACAAATTATCACAATCTAAAGCCTCCGTCACCAGATCCAAGTGCATGTGCGAATGGCAGTCCAATTTCCACGGGATTAAACTGACACTGCTGCTTCCTCTCCGCCTAACCAGATCTACCCTTCAGAAAGAATAGCAAAAACGCGTGCCTCCCCCCCCCCCCCCGGGCCCTTTCCAGTCCGTAACGTCAAAAGCGAAGGCCACATGCTTACAATGTGAGAGAGTTTAACGGGAGCAACAGAACACCCTTCCCCCCGGCTACAGTGAGCTCCAACGACTCCAACATATAGACACACAAAGAATTGCCGACTACGGTTTTTCGCCTCGGACTTTATTTTTGGTGTCACGTTTTCTTTCAATGCTGGGTCAGATCTGAGAAGTGAAAGCAATCCAGGCTGTCTGCCGGTGTCCCCCCCCCCCCTCTTCCCCCGCTGTGGTTTGCTTGGCCGGCTGCGCTGTGCGCCATTCTTATCTTTGGTTTTATGAGATCTGCGAAGCCAGCTCCAAACAAACGTTTTGATCAGTTCCTCCCCAAACTCTCGCGTCCAGGCTCCGCAGACCCGAAGGTGCCTCCCAGCCAGCGCCAGCCCTCCTCCTCCCCCTTCCCTCCCGTCTCCCTTGTGTGCGAGAGGCGCTCGGGGCTTTCCCACGCTTCCAAGACACCGAAGCCTGTTTGGCGCAGGCAGAGCTCCGCGCTTTAGCCAATGAAAAGCACGACCAGCGCGGTCGGGGCAGGAGGCCTGTCACTCACGCCCCTTCTTCTCCAATCCAGCAACTCACCCGAGGAGAAGGGGCGTGATTTTAGGAGGCTGTAGGCGGGGCTTGATGCTTGAGGCTGAGCCGCAGCGTGGGAAAGCGCTGCAGATATTCATTTGGTTTGCTGGCGCCGGCTTGGGAGGGATAGACGAACTTAATCCAGAGGTGTCCAAAAGGGAATACTCCCCCCTCCTTTAATTGGCATTATTTATCTCCTGTTTTGGAAGCTGGACTGTCTCCTTTAGCCACCATGAAGCGGCCTTGCGAGGAAACTACCTCAGAGAGCGATATGGACGAGACTATAGACGTAGGGAGTGAAAATAATTACTCTGGGTAAGGACAGGTTTATTTATTTATTTACTGTCTGGAATGTGTCTCGTCTGCTGCACGCGGGGGGGGTGGGTGGGTGGGTGGACGGAAGGATTCTTTTAGGAACATCATATCCTAGAAAGGAGACCATCAAAATCTGTCAATTTGGGAACCTGGTGGTGGCCAGTCTATGCGAAATCAGGGGCACTTATGTGGTATCCTGGTAAATAAAAAAATAACCTGAAAGATGAGAGGAATGGAGGATCTGCTCAGTTTTGGCCAGGGTCCCTGTAGCCTTAGCTTTTATGTACGGTTTGCTTACCTTACCTTGGCCTAAGTATTTCTTTACCAAGCAACTACTTTCTTCATTTTTGTCCACTTTTATTGAGCCGGTCATACTCTCAGCCTAATCCACCTCATAGGTTGTTGTGAGGATAAAATGGAGGAGAGAAGAACCAAGTAAACTATTTTGGGTCCTCACTGGGGAGAAAGGTTGGGTATAAAGGAAATATTTTTTTTTTAATCCCAGTTATCTTGGAGGTATGAATGGAATGTTTTTCTGAGCAAAATAATATTCTCTGTGGGATGTTTTTTGTGTTTTTATAGAAATACTCTGTATAAGATCTAGTTGGTATCATATGTATGTCGTGTACAGCACCTAGCAACACTCTGTTGATACTGCAGGTTAAGTAGCAGCAGTATTGAAAGGATGCAAAGAAGAGGCTATGCTTCCTTGTTCTAAGGAGTGAGCATTTACAATAGAAAGCATCTCTTGCAATAGGTGCTATTGGACAATACTGTCTGGTGCTCGTGAATGGGATGTGTGTTGCTAGAATCTTTCTGTGTGTATCCAGTGGATACTGTTTTGAAATAACCTGGGTTTGGCTGGTGGAAAAAGTGGGGTGGAACAACACGAGGAAGAAAGGGGCTAATGGATTGCACTACCACAGAAGCTCCATCTGATTTTATTTTGCTTCAGAAGAATAGGTGGAAAATTGTCTGGGCAAATCACAGTTCAGGACATCTGCTATGAAGCACTGTTTAACTGTTTGTCTAACAGTCCTCAAGGTATCTGTAATGTGCCTAGTAGAAGAAGAGCTGTCATCAAATGAAGGCAGTTCAGAAGAGTGCTGTTAACTGATTTTTAGACTATTGTATGTACTACAGTCCTAAACAAACTTAGTAAGGAGCAAGTCACACTGAACTCAGTGGGGTTTACTTCTGAATATATATGCTTAGGAATAGCGTTGTTGATCACCTAGATAAATGTATTACCAAAATTTCAATATAGGGCTTCTTTTTGTGTTTCTGTGTAAGACAATTTAACAATTAAAGAAAAGATATCACTCATTGTATTAATGTTCTACAGTATGGTCTGTACTACAGTAACACACCAGAAGCAAAATAGGAGAGCAAAACAATGGATCAGCCAAAGTTCAGCACTTATAAATCCCACTGGGAGAATAAGGATGTGCTTAAAACTGTCCCACTGAAATGAATGACACTAGAAATCTTGCCAATACAATGCAGCAGTGTTTGATTTCTCTCAATAAAGAAACTTTTAAAAGTAAAAACTGATAAAAACAGTTCATTTTTAGGCCGATAGTTCCCTTTCACTTGGAACTTTTTTCCAGATTTACTGAGATACAGTATGATTTGAGAGAATTAAAAGGCATTGCTCACATGATGGATTTAATCCGATCACTGTTTTCTAATCCATTTTAAATTAACCTGTATGAATATCGTGCTTCAGGCCATCTACATACATAATATTAGCATTTATTGATAGCCAGTTTGACATTTGCTGTACAGTGGACCAATTCAGTCTTTATCCCAACCAAACTGGATAGTGCAGATTAACTGGATAATTATTCTTAACTCATTCTTTTTAAAGTTAATATGCATGCTCTAAATTTTAAACCTGGTTGAAATGACATGCTATAAATTACTTTCTGCCACATAGTCTGATTAAAATCAGTTGGTCTACTGTAGAGTTAAGTGGGTTATAGAATCCTTGGCCTAAGGGAAAAGCTAAATCCAATTGATGTTACTGTTAGAATAAAGCCAAAAATTAGCTGGTTTAATGGATGAAAAATTCTAGCAATCTTTTCTTAAAAATCAAGTTCTATGACCAGTATTTGAGAAACTAGTTCAGACAAAATTTCCGATTTGTTGATAGGTAGATATATTTGAAATATATAGATAGATTTTAAAACAGGTACTATAGTCTCTTAAAAAGTTGAGTCAACCATGTCTTTAATCTCTCCCATTGAAATCAATAAAATATTCAAGTATTTGATTTCAATGCCAAAACATGCCAAAACGTTTTAGAACACTTAACCTGGAGTAGACTACAGCAGTGTGATTTACAAGAAAAGAACATTGTTAGGCTGCCTTACAGTGCAACCCTAACAACGCATTCTTGGGAGTAAGCCCCACTGAATAGATTTGGCTAGGATTCGGAGTAAACCTGGGTAGAATTGTTTTCCTTGGTTCCAAGCAGTGTAGTGCTTCAGCCTACTGAACGGGACTGCAGATGTTAAACTGAGGTTGTAAATACCTTGTTGAAAGGACTTGATACTGCACAGAATATGTGGGTTGCACCGCAGCTGTTTCATTGGATCATGAACACTAAAAAGTGCTAAAAATGGAATTAATAACTAAGACTGTTAGGACGAAGAACTTTATATCCTGATTCTGAACATGAGTACTTAGAAGAAAGTCCCATTCATCTTATGAACATGCATATGTTCAACCGCTGCTTAACAGTACTTTTTGTATGTGCCAATAATATACCTACGTATACACGCCTTATATTGGTTGTGAATGCTGCTTATTTAAACTACTGCTTTTCTTAGCCAAACATATGGGAGTGAGCTCAGGCCTTTGCTTCCAAGTATTGCTTTCAATATATGTTGCTTGAAAATATTGTAATTTTATGCCAAGTGTGTGCCATTTTTAAGTGATAGGAGGTGCATGTATTTTGTACTTGAACATAAGCACCTGAGCACAACAATGTATTGAAAGAAGCAGCCCTGAATGTACTGAGAATCACACTTTTGGCAGTACTGTTTCTTTACATATCTCATGTTATCAGTTTAACTCATGGGCTTGCGCTGTTAGACTGAACGTTTTGTATATAAAGTTGAAGCGACTTAGTCAAGCTCAGCTCAGACGATGGAGTGTGTTTGAGAAGGCACCTTTTTCAACAAGTTGCTTTGCCAGAAATTCTATTAGAAAATGTAAGAGTGAGTGAGGCGAAAGTTTTGCTTTGACTGCTTTAAGTTTTTCAGAGTACACTGTGTGTGTTGTGTATGGTGAGGGAAGTGACTGAGATATATGTAATAAACTGTGTACCGAGATTCAACTCCTGACATGTCTTTTTAACTGTTCCTCAGGCACAGTGCCAGTTCTGTGATCCGATCAAATTCTCCTACCACAACATCACAGATTATGGCCAGGAAAAAAAGAAGAGGGGTAGGTTTCCTCCCAACAATGTTACGTGTGCTACAGTCACATTTATTGTGTCACTTTCTAAAATGTACATTTGCAGCTTTTATATCTATATTTCATTTTATTTTGGGGATAGATTATAGAGAAAAGGCGCCGAGATCGTATAAATAACAGTTTATCCGAACTGAGGCGGCTCGTGCCAACGGCGTTTGAAAAGCAAGTAAGCATACATAAATATATCTATATTCTGACTCTCATCTCATCTGGCCATGTTGGGTGTTTCATAAAGCTCAAATGAGACTTGATGTGCCCTGATCTGGCACAAAAACAGAAACTTCAGTAAAATGCTTTGTTGTGGCAAAACTATTAAAAAGGCGAAATCCTCCACAAAGCTGGAAAACATTTCCATTCTCTGCCTTGCTGTTCCCTTAAGGGCAACAGTGTTCGTGTTGCTGCCTCTGTTCTTTCAATGAATTCCAGTAGTGGCTTTTTCTCTTTACATGCTTATTGTTTAAAAATGTCAAATTCCCTTCTGCATACAAGCCATATTAACAGCCTTATGATTTTTTCTTATGCTTTCATTCTTTCCATTTTCTTACGCTTTCATTCTTTCAGTCTGCCTAATATGCAGATGGACTAATGAGTTCAGTGTCTGTAATATTTAGAAAATATCTGCAAAGGAATATAACAATTATTTGCTTGTGCTTTTTCTCAAAGAATTATTACCTTTTTTGGTTCTTCAGAAGTACACTGTGTTTGTGTGTGTGGGGAAAAGTGATGTCTAATGTTTGTATTCCTGGGACAACTGCATGAGTAAGATCCAACAGAAATTTGTATCCCACTCAGCTATAATCGCAGCAAAAGTTCAGTGAAGCGCATTCCAGCATAATGGTTTGGATCCAGATTATCATGATTACTTGCAAAGCAGGGCTGTCCCACATCTATTTCTACAGCAGCCCCTTGCATCGCACTCCCTCCAGAATCTTCCTTCTGGGACAGTATGGCACCAGGCAAAGGAGGAAATCAGGATTTGTCCCTCCTATTTCCCTTTCCAACTCACATAAGAAATCCTTTATATTCTAGAGGATGTGTGTGCACCTTCATAGGATGTCTTTGAAAACAATTGCAGAGAGAGCAGGATATATTATGATGAAATATGTGTTCTACGGAATCCCATACATAAACATTAGTTATTGATCCTGATGAAAGCACATGTGGTTTTCATCAGTGTTATTGTTGATTACAAGGTAAAAAGCTTCAGCACCAAGATACTAACTTTGTAGGATCATACAAATGTATAAGACGAAATGGATGCCTCTGGCACTCAGAGATGTCAACCCATCCCATTGTTAAAAATCAGAATTTATTATCCAGGTTACAGTGTGCCAAAAGCAAGAGTAATGGGGCTGTTAGCATATTGTACCTGAAATGCCTGTAGAATTAAGCTAGGACGTGTATGCAAGTGTCTCAATGAGCTGTGCGTTATGCATAGAGAAAAGTTAGATCCTGCTTGTGTTGCAAACCTATGAGAGCTGGAAGAAGAACGTTCCAGACTAGATGATCAGTTAGATTTTAAGTATGCAAGCAAAAGAAATCCATGCATTAATCCCCTTATAATGGTTAGATTGTTACTTCACTAAATACCTCATATCCAGTTGTAATCACATCTGGTGCCTGATGGAAGGGGGGGGGAACATACCATGATTTATTGGGAAGGGAAAAAAATCTTCCTTGATATAATGTCTGAAGTTGATTTTAAACCTTGAGATTTCAGTTGTTAAAAAATGTACTGTGGAATTGCCAAATTCAGTGAGTTTACCTCACAATTGCTTTGGAGGAATCAATTTGGAGACATTC